GCCCCCGCCCCTCGCTCTCGGGTGTGGGGCGGGCGGGCTCTGCGGCGGCGGCGGCTGCTGGTTCCTCGGGCCATTTTGCTGAGGAGCGACGGGGAGGAGGAGCCGCCGAAGAGACCCCGGGCTTAGAGTGGCGAGCCGGAGGAGGCGGCGGCCGCGCGGGCACCGGACTTTCCTCGATCGCGGGGATCTCGAGGGGCGAAGGGATCGCCCGGGAGGGGACCGGAGAGCCCGCGCCCGCCGCGCGGCGCGCCCCTTCCCGCCCCCTGCACCATGAGCTGGGGCACCGAGCTCTGGGTGAGTGAGGGGCTGGGCCCGCAGCTGCGAGGGAAGGTGCCTGGCGCGCCCAGGAGGGGGCGCGGGCCGGGCTGCCCCGGGGGAGGCGATGGCGTGCTGGTCGGGGTCCCCGCGGCCTGGGGGCGAGGCGCAGGTCCGGGGGCCCCTCGTCGGCCTTGCCCCGAGCAGGAGCTGCGAGCCAGATTCGCCCTTCGGAGGCCAGCTGGTGTGGGTCCCCGCCGGCCTGAGCAGGGAGCGCGGATCTGGGTCCCCCGCCGCCGGCCGGAGCAGAGGGCGCTGGTCTGGGTCCCCCCGGCGGTCTGAGCAGGGGATGCGGGTCTGGGTCCCCCCGGCGGCCTGAGCAGGGGGCGCGGGTCTGGGGTCCCCGGCGGCCTGGGCAGGGGGCGCCCCGAGGCCATCCATGTGTGTTGGAAAGAGCCTTAATCCCTCGGGGAGAGTAGCCGATGCGCCGCGGACTGGCTTCGATGGGGGCGTGGAGGCCCTCGGATTTTCGGGGATGCGTTCTTTATTCGGGCGCCCGGCCCCGAGTTCCTGAAGCTGCTCTCTCCCGGTGGAGGTGCGCGCGGATCTCTCTTCCCGGGGGCGGGGCGGCCTTGGCGGGGCCAGGGCTGAGGTCTTGGGTTTGGGGGCCCAGGGGTGAGAAGTGGTGTCTTCCTTCTGGAGGCGAGGACTTTTGACTTGTGCCGGTTTGGGGCGCACTTGTAGTTGTTGAGAGGCAGCTCAGATCCTGGATTTGAGGTGGGGACTGCGGCGTTTGGCCTGGAGGGGAAATTCATCGGAGTTAGGGGGAGATCTTGTTATCACCTTCAGGAAGAGGCATTCTCGAGGTAAATCTTTAACTGCTCCGAGGAAACAGTTTAAAATGGGGAAGGTTGGCGGCGAGGGGCCCCCCCGCCGAGATCCTTAACCTGGGGGTGCAGATCGGTCAACAATGAGCGTGGTGTCTGGAAGCTGTCTCCCCGGACCCAGGGCGAATAGGGGATGCCGAGGAGGAGAAGCTGTGGGCCGTGGAATGAAGCTTGGTTCGCTGTCTTCCTCTGGATTCCTGGGGAAATCACTGGGTCAGGGATGGGCAGTGCAGTGTCCAGAGGAAGGGGTGGATGAAATCTCAATTATTGCACTGAAATGTTCTCAAGATGAGACATTGGCCGTGATGAACTCGAAAGTGCCTCCTTTCGGAATTCCATTTGTAAAGGGTGCGGAGGAGAAAAGTGTGGGGTGGTTGCTCTCTGAGCTGAGGCCAAGAAATCTCACGTCAAAATAAAACAAGGTAGGGGCAGCAGTGGAAACAGAGCGCACCCTCCCGTATTATTTATTTATTTTTTGCTTTAATTGTTTTTACATAACCATTTCTTAGGCTCAGAAGCAGCTACTGTTACTAATACCAAAATCCTGAAGGCAATAGCTCCCTTAAATTAAGATAATTCATTTTATAAACATCCTCTGTGTAGAGGGACTCATGGGAAAATTTCAGCTGCTGTTCACAAATACACATCTTAAAAATAAAATAACAGATGCTTTAAACATTTGCATACACCTGATTAGGCAAAATCTACCATTTTAAGTATTGTTTTTCTTTCCTCTTCTATTCCTTCTCCACTAGCTTATCTGGAGTCGGGGAACAAATCAGAAGTGATTTTTATCCAGAGAATAGAAATTTTGGCACAATTTTTCTTTTCACTTGTTCAAACAGGAGAAAGGGATTATGGAGGAAAAAATACAATATATTTCTAAGTGAAACAGGCTGTGGTTAAAAGGACTGAACACAGTGGTGGGCATTTCACTGTGATGTTGGTGAGTGTTATAGAAGGTGATCCAGAAGAGAGGAGGTAGCTATGAGAGGGAAATGGATAAAAGGGTTCCCATTGCCTGCATCATTCTGTACACTTCTTTTGGGGGTAGAGAGGTGGGAAGGAAGGCAAAGACAAGGAGTTGTTGAAAATAAATGGGAACTGGAATATATATGAATGATATGAAGTCTTGGATTTGCTTCAAAATAAATTGGGGTGGTGGTGGATGGGGCTCTTGATGAAACAAAAGTGGTCATGAGTTGCTAATTGTTGAAGCCAGGTGATGGGTACAGAAGGGCTCAGGATACTATTCATTCGACTGTAGATGCTTGAAATTTGCTACAATAAAAATAATTGGAAAAGATTTTTAAGGGAGAAGGCATGTAAACGACTTGAAATTTTTTTCACTTGGTAAGTTTACGGGGAAGTGTGAGTCAGTTAGCAGTTGTTATGTATGCAAGTATATGTCAGTGAAGAGTTAAAAAAAAAAAAAAAGACATTCTACTAAAAAGGCGGTCTAGTAGAGTTTTGGCCTTTGCCCTTGAGCAGCTTATAGTTTAATAGAGGGAAAGGAATGAACACACTATTTGTACTCATACGAGAAGGGCAAAATCTGAGTTTTAAGGTGAAATACCAAGAAGTATAAGAACAAGAAAATGTCTGTTTTCAGTTGCCTTATTTTATTAGTGGTATTTGAGATTTTAAAGAAAGACTGGAATAGTGAAGGATGCTGAAAGATAAACCTCTAGTTCTGCAGTGGTGACTGACTGTGAAATGCAGTGCGTTGGGCAGTGTTGGCCAGCTCCGTGCAGGGCGGTGATTGAGGATTTTCTTTGAATGTGGCTTTGGGATCATGCGCATGTGTAATGAGATAATGACGGGTCGCCCAAGTCGGCAAAATTATGCTTCTCGATGGAGAGAGACTGAGCTATGGTTTGGGCAGCCGTGAGTTATCTGTAACAGGTGGCACCTTTCATAGACCTTCACAAATACCACCAGGTTTTACACACATTTTGGGACTTTAGTCAAAGTCCATCTAGGCTTTTAAAATCTACAGGTTTCTTGGGGCTGCCTGGTGGCGCAGTGGTTAAGCGCGCGCACTCCGCTGCGGGGCCCGGGGTTCGCAGGTTCGGAACCTGGCACGCACAGACACACTGGTTGTTAAGCCATGCTGTGGCCGTGTCCCATATAAAGTAGAGGAGGATGGACACAGATCTTAGCTCAGGGCCAGTCTTCCTCTAGAAAAAAGGGGAGGATTGGCATCGGATGTTAGCTCAGGGCTAGTCCTCCTCACAAAAAAATAAAATAAAAAATAAATAAAATCTACAGGTTTCTAACACACACTTTACATTAAGGGCCTACTCTGAAGCCACATCCTGCTTTGCAGAGGGAGTAAAACCTTTCTCTCTCTTTTTTTTTTTAACACCTCTGTAGGAGTAATCTTTCATATTCTAGGAAATTTTTGAGAAGTCATGAAATGTCAGGAAGTTATCATACAACTATACAAATGGACTTAAAGCCCATAATTTGTAAAAATTTATTGGATTAGTTTGTAATTAAATTGGGACTTTCTATTTTTGTATTGGAAGGTCATACCAAGGTATAAATGGCTGTTTTAAAGTGATTAGGTTATAATAAAATGGTTTCTGTACTCTTCCTAACATTTCCTTTTAATCAATTTTTAAAATTTTTATTGAACAGCTACTATATGCCAGATACCCATCTGAGTCTGTAAGTCACATTATATGCATTGAAGGATATCTACTTGATTGAGTGAAAACATATAAAGTAGGCTTTAACTCGAGCCTGCAACATCAGAGTCAAAAGAGAGATTTATGTTTCTTTATAAAATGAACCAAAATGCATTTACTGAAGACTTTGTTAAAAATGTAATGTTAATAGGGTAATAGGTTGCATTGACTTGTTGAACTTGTGACTGGTCATTGAAGAAATGGCAAAGCAAGAGTTTCTTACATTTGAATGTTTTTTTCTTACCTACTTATTAGAAAGAGGTGACAAGTTATTGAAGTGTCAGTTCAACTTTTTTTTTTTCTTGCTGAGGAAGATTTGCTTTGAGCTAACATCCATTGTCAATCTTCCTCTTTTTTTTTTTTTTTTTTTGCTAGAGGAAGATTAGCCCTGAGCTAACATCCGTGCCGGTCTTCCTCTATTTTATAATGTGTGGGTTGCCACCACAACACGGCTGATGAGTGGAGTAGGTCCACGCCCAGGATCCGAACCTTCGAACCCGGGCTGCCAAAGCGGGGTGCGCCAACTTAACAACTATGCCAGTGGGCTGGCCCCTCAGTTCAACTTTTTATTGGCTTGATCATTAATGTGAAGTATGAATAAATCCATTGGAAGTTTTAGCTTTCCTCGTAATTATCCTGCTCTGGCAGCTAACCAATTACTCGGTGACAGAACCTACTTTTGTCTGCTAGTGTCCTCTCTGCCATCTTTATTTCTTTACTTTGGTGCTAATAAGAAGTAGAGGAGCCCAAAATACCAAAAGCAAGAGAGTGAACAGAGAGACCTGAATAATACTTATTGGTTAACTTAGTAAGAAGGGACCTGTGTTGATTGTGTGTAATTTTTGTTTAACCTGTGTTTTTAGGACAAAGCCAGGCGTGTAATGTGCGTTCAACAGGATGTTGAATATGCTGGTGTGCACTTTTACGAGGCAGCAGTGAGTTATCTACCAACTGTACTGGAACAATGCCTGGCTCATAGTAGGAGTTCAATAAATATTTATTGAATAAATGAATGAATCCTTTTTTTTACTTTGTTTTAAACGTTTGCTTTTTTATGGTAATGGGAGAGTAATTATAACACCTTTCCGCACTTTGGCAATTGTAAAAATTTTCCATAATTCGAGGCAACTTTTTTTATTCTTTCAAATAGATTTTGTTTATTAGAGCAGTTTCACAGCAAAATTGAGCGGAAGGTACAGAGATTTCCCATATACTCCCTGCCCGCAAATACAGCCTAGGCACATTTTCACCTTTAGAGGAAGGCTTCAAAACTTATGTCTTCTCTGTTGTTCATGCTCCTTATGCCTGATATATCTGTGTGTGTTTATATAAGAACACTTTATAGTGTATCAGAATTTTAAACTAGGCAATACTGATTCTTTTTTCATCTTCAAGTAATTGACTATTAATAGTTCTAGGTTTTGGAGAATCATTAACCTTTTCGTACTGCTGGATACCG